TATTTCCTTCCTTCTGCTAACTTTAGGGGGTGGAGGGTTGCTCTTCTTTTTCTATTTCTTTTAGCTGGTAGGTTAGATTGTTTATTTGAGATTGTCCCTTTTTGCAGAAGGCCTGTATTGGTATAAAGTTCCCTCTTAGCACTGCCTTTGCTGCATCCCATAGATTCTATGTGATTGTTTTCGTTGTCATTTATCTCAAAGCATTTTTTAATTTCTTCTTTGATTTCATCATGGACCCATTGGGTTTTTTTTTTTTGGAAGCATGTTGCTTAATCTCCATGCTGTCTTTTTTTTCCTCCTTTGTCTTTCTGTAGTTGATTTCTAGTTTCATGGCATTGTGGTCAGAAAAGATCCTTGAGATAATTTCTATCTTCTTAAAATTGCTGAGGTTTCTTTTGTGCCCAAGTACATGATCAGTCCTGGAAAATGTTCCATGTGCACTTGAAAAGAATGTATATTCTATTTTGGGGGGATGTAATGTTCTGAAAATATCAACCAAGTTTAGTTGTTCTATTGTGTCATTTAATTTTTTGTTGCCTTATTTATTTTATATCTTGAAGATCTGTCCAGTGATGTTAATGGGGGGGGTGTTAAAGTCTCCTACAATGATCATATTCCCATCAGTTTCTCCCTTTATATCTGTTAGTATTTGTTTTATGTATTTAGGTGCTCCTATATTGGGTGCATATATGTTAATAAGTGTAATATCCTCATCTTGTATTACTCCTTCAATCATTATAAAATGTACTTCTTTATCTTTGTGTATGGCCTTTGTTTTAAAGTCTAATTTGCCTGAGATCAGTATTGCTACTCCTACTTTCTTATCATTTCCATTTGCATGGAATATCTTTTTCCATCCTCTCACTCTCGGTCTTTGTGTGTCCTTCTCCCTAAAGTGGGTCTCTTGTATGCAGCATATTGTAGGTTCTTGCTTTATTATCTAGTCTGCCACTCTATCTTTTGATTGGAGGATTTAATCCATTGGCATTTACAGTAATTAATGATAGAAGTATGTTTATTGCCATTTTGAACTTAGTTTTGCAATTGATTTGGTATTTTCTCTTTGTTCCTTTCTTTTTCTTTTTGTGGTTTGTATTAATTTTCCTTTGCTATTATCTTTGGTTTTTTTTTTATTTTTAAGTTTTTGTGTCTCTGTTGTAAGTTTTTGGCTTGTGGTTACCCTGTTATGTACATATATTAAAACTTTACTATAACTATTTGTTTTAAACAGATAATAATATAGTCTCAAACCCATCCTACCAAGAACAAACAATTAAAAAAGAAATAAAACTCTATATTTTCTTGCTCCCCTCTGCCACCCTTAATGATTTAGATGTCTTCTTTTACAATTTCATTTTTATTGTGTTGTAATTCATGGTAATTATCACCTTTCCAATTATGGTTTTCTTCTTTCTGTAGCATCCTGCTTCTTTTCTATTTAGAGTAGACCTTTCAATATTTCTTTTAACATAGGTTTAGTGTTGCTATATTCTTTTAGTTTTTGCTTGTCTGTGAAGTTCTTTGTCTCTCCTTCTATTCTAAAGGATATCCTTGCTAGTTAAAGTAGCCTATGTTGCATAGTTTTCCATTCAGGGCTTTGAATGTCTTGCCACTCTCTTCTGGCCTGTAGTGTTTGTGTAGGAAAATCAGCTGAAAGTGTTAGGGGGGTTTCCTTGTAACTCACTCTTGTTTTTCTCTTGTTGCCTTTAGAATCATTTCTTTAGCCTTAACCCAGGCCATCCTGATTATGATGTCTTGGTGTGGGTCTGTTTGGGTTCTTCTTGTTTGGGACTCTCTGTTCTTCCTGTACTTGGATATCTGATTCCTTCTTTAGGTTTGGGACGTTTTTGGTCATGATTTTTTCAAATATCTTTTCAATCCCCTTTGCTCTTTCTTCTCCTTCTGGGACCCCTATTATGCATAGGTTGACATGCTTTACATTATCCCATAGGTCCCTTATATTATTTTCATTGGTTTTTACTTGTTTTTCTCTCAGCTGTTTTTATTGGGTTATTTCTGTTATCCTGTCTTCTAAGTCAGTTATTCATTTTTCTGTGTTATCTAGCCTACTTTTAACATTCTGTAGCGCAGCTCTCATCTCAGCAAATGAGTTTTCCAATTTTAATTGGCTCCTCTTTTGTAGTTTCAATTTTCTTTTTGACATATTCTCTGTCTCTAAACACAATCTCTTTTAGTCCTTTCAGTACTTTGATCACTCCTATTTTGAAATCATGATCTAGTAGACTATCAATGTCTATTTCATTGATTGATCTTTTGGGGGATTTCTCTTGGTCTTTTAATTGGGAGTGGTTCCTCTGCTTCTTCATTTTGCTCACATCTCTCTGGCACTATAGATTATGGAGTATCAGTTATCTACTGTGGTCCTTAAGGAGGTTGTTTGTTTGTTTGTTTGTTTGTTTATCTAAACCAGTTGCAGAAATAAAACTAGAAAAAAAATTTAAAAGAGAAAAAAGGTTTGAAAACAGAGTATAATCAATAAGAGAAGAACAAATAGGTTTGAAAACAGTATGAACAAATAGGTTTGAAAACAGTATAATCAATAAGAGAAGAACAAATCAAAGAAATGTAAAAATCTAGTTGAGACGTATTTTAAAAACCTTAAAAGAAGAAAAAAATTGAAAACAAATTATAATCAATAACAAGATCAAAACAAAGAACAATAAAAATCAAATTTAGGGAAATTAAAAAATAAACTATAAAAGAAGAAAAAAGATTTGAAAGCAGAGTATAATTGATAACAGAAGAACAAAACAAAGAGAAATAAAAATGAAACTGAGATAAATTAAAAATATAATAATAATATTTCAAAAGAGTTTTAAAAGGGATTAAAAAATAGAAACATAAAAACCTTTTAAAAAGCAAAAATTAAGTAAGTAAAAGAAAATTGAACAGGAGAAAAGTGGTTATGTTCCCATGGAGACTGTGCACCCCCTCCTGATGCCATGGTCCAGCACCATGCTGGTGCATCATAGGCAGGTGGGTTGCACACCCTCCTGATGCTGGCACCGCACTCATGCATGGTAGGCCAGTGGGTTGCTCCCCTGCCCAGTGCAGCTCCCCGCTCCATCTTGGTCCTTGCTCCGTAGGTGGTCTCGGAGAAAATGGCCACCCAGACTTCACCCCTGCTCTGTGCCACAACTCCACTCCTTGTTGGTTTGTCTTAGAGGCAAGAGTTCACAGAGGCAGGGGGCAGAACCATCCTATCTGACTGGGGCTATAAACAAGTCTCAGTCCCATCTGTGAGGTTGCAGAGCCCCTTGGTACAGATTCAGGTTTTGACCCCACCCCTGCATGGGCGCTGCACACCTGAGGATATGGTGGCTGTGGTCAAGTCCTGCCTCTCTTCTCCAGAGAACACACCAGCAATGGTTCCGCGGGTCTTTGGAGACAAAGGCTACAGCACCATTCCCCCCAGGGCACATTAGCAGTGTTGCTTTGCTTTTTTTCCCCATGTTTTATGGCGGACCCAGGTTATTTTGCTCTGTATACCCTCCCAGCAATGGTGCACAGCACATTGCAATCCCCCGTGGTTGCCCCTACAGCTGGCCTGAGTCCTCCACCTGGCTTGGGCAGCCTGTCCCATCCCCCACCTGCCGGTTTGCCTCTAGGGCTGAGGGTCATGGGGACCCTTTGTGCCCATTTATCTTAGTTCTGATGGTCGAGGGCTATTCCATACAGATCTGAGCCTTGGAGGTTCTCCCTCCGTCCCGCTGACCTCCATTGGAGAGGAGGAGACCCAGCAATGGAGTGCTATTCCTCCTTTGCCACTCCCTCCCCACGGGATCAGTCCTGCACTATTTTGCTTTTTCTTCTTTCTTTTTTCCTTTTCTCCTACCAGATTTGTGGTGTATTTTGTCTTTAGAAGAAGGCGATATTCTGTCAAAGTTCAGCAGGTTCTTTGATTGGCTGGGTGGGTCCATGGAGGTCAGTCTTGGTGTATTTGTGGGAGAGGATGAGCTAGAAGTGTCCTTGTACTCTGCCATCTTGGCTGTTCCCCCTACTTATCGTGTTTTAAATAACCATCTGAAAAATGTTTATCCATTTGGGATAAGTCCCTTATTTTTACCTTGTTAAGAAAAATCTTTATAGACTTTTTCTACAGTGTTACTCAACCTAATTAACATTAATTATTCTAATATTTTTATTAGCACCTCTAAAACCTTTTGAGGGGAAGGGAAGAACACAAATAAGACTTTCCAAACTGGTTTTTCTTGTTTTAAACTAAAGGAGTTCTTAGGTTAACCATTAGATATATATTTTTTCCACCCTTAAATTCAATTTTTAGTAGATACCAATTAAACAGCTGTTTATAATGAGAGCTCTCTAAAGTTTTACCAATTCAGAAGTTTCTCAATTTAAAGTATCTATCATCTGACCATCAATGAGCTACATATTAAGCCAATCAAGAAGAAGGTATATATTGGTTTAATGTATATAATCAATGAAGATATATATCAAACCAATAAGATGAAGAGGCTTTCCCACAAGAGAGTGGGGAGTACCGCCTAAATAATATTCAAAAGTTTACTTCCAAAAAAATAAAGGCCTTTGTGGTTCAGGCTGATGCAACAAAGGTTAAGTTGGCAAAATGCCTGAGAATTGGTACAAAGGATTGCTCAGAATCCCAATCTGTTTGCTTGGCTGCCATTTGTATACCATACTTGTACCTTTTCAATGGCAAAGATCAAGTTTTTTAAAACACACACACACACACACAAAATTCCAAGAGAAAGATAAAACACATCTTTAAAGGCGCAGGAAGAGAAGTGCAAATTCCCTTTAGAAGGCTTTTGTTTTTGTAAGATCAGAATTCTGAAAAAATTGTTTTTCTCAGGCCACCTTTTTTTTTTTAACTTAACTGTGTACACAATAAAGGGGCCACAGCTTAGTTATTTTTAGGGCGAGATTTTCTTTAATTCCCAATTAAGTAAGTACTTATGTTACGGAACCGACAGGCCAGCCAAGAAATGAAGCACCACTTGGAGGGTTGGAGTACTCAGATTTATTATGTCAGCAGGCTCAGAAGGGCTTCTGCTTTGAAGCCCTGAGCACCTTCAAGACGTGTGCATGAGGTTTTATAGGGTTAATTACAAGGATGGGGCTATTAACCAATAAGGCGTAAACAGCAAAAGCAAGGAATCAGTACACTGGAACTTATCTTGTAGAAACAGATGGTGTTACTGACACTTGTTGACCTTGTATTTACAAATTAACTTGTTAAGCCAGTAAACTGACACTTACTAAACTTCAGATTTATGAGTTAGCACAGCAGAACTGAGATCAGTAAACTGACACTTATTACACTTAGATTTATGAGTTAGCTTGTTAGCCCAGCCCGGCTTTTCCTTCTCATTCCCCTCTCTTGATGCTTTCACAACCTTTCTTGGAGTAAGCATCATCACTTATCTGTTGCAAGGGCTCATAATTGGAGGCTAACATCTGGAGTTTTATAACCTCTATCTGCTCACCAACAAAGCGGGTCAGGAAGTTTAGGATACAGGGCCTAAACAGCAGAACTACAAAAATTAGGAGAAAGGGACTTGTGAACGGTGCCAGCCAGGAGATCCAGCTCCAGGGGTCTGTCTTTGGGCTCTTGCCTAAAATATGCTTCCTCTTTTCCACTCTGTCTTGTAACCCTTGAATCATCCCTCTGACAATTCCTGATTGATTGGCATAAAAACAGCACTCTTCGTTTAGGAAGAGGCACATTCCCCTCTCTTTGGCCATCAGTAGGTCCAGACCCCTCCTGTTTTGTAAGACCACCTTGGCTAGAGAGTCAATCTGATTTTGCAGAGCTCTCAGGGTTTCTGCTATTCATTGGAGATCTTGGCTGAACTCACCTGTAAGCTGATAATAGGAATAAGAGGATGAGGCTTTGCCACCGATTCCTGTGCCTACCCCTGTTGCCACTCCGAGACCCACTAGCAAGGGGATCAGTTGTATGGGTCATTTTATCCTTCATGGATGCTGGTGAGTTATGACAGGGATAGGCAGACTTTGATTATTAGGCATAATGTCCATTCAGGGAATGAGATAAGCTAAAGCACATAACTCTGCCCAACCGGCCGGGAGGCACTGGTAGGCAAATTTGCCACACACAAAATAAGTACCATTATTAGAACAGCATCCTTGTGTGGGTTGGCACCCTAGACCCATATAGTGTGAGGTTTTAATACATTGTTTTATAGTTAGATTGCCCTCTAAAGGATTAGTTCCATTATTGAAATAACATTCTGGTGCCTTGTAGGTGAGCTGTATGGAGTTCAGCCTGGAACTCCTAGTGGTAGAGGCAGCATCGCTATTAGTCATAGTGAAAGTCTTAGTGAAGTTTGTCAAAGGTAAAGCCAGGTGCTGGATGGGGCCAGGATGTAAGCATAACCAGCAATCTTTAGCCATGTCTGGATTGGAATGATTGAGAATCCCATGGACTGCAGCCAACAGCTCATCTATTTGTGGGTCTAGATCCTGAGGCTCGGCTAAAGATAGAAGCTTTATTGGCTCCCAGGTAGGTAATAACTTTTGGTGTTGCCTCCGGACTGCTTGTTGGACTACTTGTCAGCATGCCTGGTCCTGTACTCCTCCTCCATCACTCATCCCATAATGTGTTTGCTTGGTCCAACACACTAGCTTGTCTGGTGTGCCATAGCACTTGATGACAGATACATAATAAGCCTTAATCATGCCAGTCCAGTAGGATCTGCCCTGATATGTGCACTCTGAAGCGGAGTCATAGCATCAGCTTGGTTGATAAGTATAAGCTGAATATACACATCGGTACATGGACGATATGTCACCTGGTTCAGTGCAGGTGCATTGTGAAGCCAAGGGGAGTGAGGGCATTAGCGTCAGTAACATCAGCCTTATGGTTATCTTAGACATGATGCTGCAGTGATGGCACTAGTTATAACAAGGTATATAATAGCTATCAGGATCCTATGGCCTATATTCCAGTCAGGAGGGGTGGTGCTGGCCAGCCCCACTGCTAATATGCAGGCTAGTATAGCAAACAAGGAAAGAGGCAAGGGAGCACAAGAGGAATATATTTAACAGTTTTGTTGAGCTTTCCTCAAACTTTGGCCGTGTGTTGACTAGCTAGCTTCCAGGTGTGCCTAGAGCAGGGCTCGTCGATCTTTTTCTGGTCCCTCTTGATCTTTATCTTGAACAGGTCTCCTGGGATGCTCTCAATTCTCCAGGGACCCTCTGTCTGAGGTGAAGTCACTCTCTTAACCCTGGAGTGGTGGATCCAAGGGATGATCCCTGCAACTTTAACAGATGTAGGGGTAGTTAATACCATTAAATATGGTCCCTTCCATGTTGGTTTGAGAGGTTCCTTTTTCCAATCCTTCACCCATACTTGGTCACCTGGTTTATGGGGATGCACTTGGACTCCTAACAAAATGGGGGTTTTCTCTATTACCCAACCCCAAACTTCCCATAGTACTTGTCCTAGTCCCACTGGTTGTTGGTCGGGCCCTATATTTCCTATCTCTGGGGTGGGATTTCCCACCCTGACTAAAGGTGGTGGTTGCCCATAGAGGATTTCAAAGGGAGAGAACCCAATGTTAAATCTTGGGGTGCATCTAATTTGCAACAGAGCCAGGGGTAAAATGTCCACCCTGGGGAGCTGGGTTTCTTGGCTCATTTTAGCTATCATTTGTTTTAGAGTTCTGTTCATTCTTTCTACCTTCCCTGAGCTTTGAGGCCGGTATGCTGTGGGTAGGTTCCAGCGGATGCTCAGTGTCTTTGCCACTTGCTGTACAATCTCTGCCATGAAGGCGGGTCCACTGTCAGATGCAATGGAGGTGGGCATTCCAAACCGAGGGATGACATCCCTGAGGAGAGCTTTTGTTACCTCCCTTGCTTTCTCCGTCCGGGTGGGGTAGGCTTCCATCCACCCTGTGAAGGTGCAGGCGAAAACCAGCAGGTACTTTTATCCCTTACTGAGCCCAAGTTCAGTAAAGTCCACTTCTAAATCTTTGAAGGGAGCCAATCCACGTCGTTGTACTCCCTTTGGCCAAGTGGGCCCTTGTTTTGGATTGTTTTGAGCACAGAGCAAGCAGCGTTGGGAGACTGATGCACACAGAGTAGGGAGACAAGAAATCAGGAAATATCGCTTTAAGAGGACCTCCAAAGTCATTTTTTCCATATGTGTGGTTTTGTGTTGTTGTTGGACTATGCGATAAGCTAGTCATTTTGGAATGACAACCCTTCTATCCATCATGATCCACCATCCATCCTTTTCTTTCTTCCCTTGTTTGGCCTGTGCCCACTTGTTTTTGTCGTGGCTATATTCTGGGATAGTGGGTATCTCTGGTGCTGCCATAATTTTAATAACTGGGTGTTCCCGGGCGGCTGCCTCTTTTGCCTTTTGATCAACCAGCCTATTCCCCTGGCTCACAGGGTCATTTCCTTTTTGATGTCCCTTACAGTGAATAATGGCTACTTCCTTTGGATCTCATACTGCCTCCAGTAACTGTAAAATTTCTTCTTTGTTTTTGATTTTTTTCCCCCAGCAGTCAAGAGTCTTCTCTTCTTATAAATGGCTCCATGTACATGTAAGGTTGCAAAGCATATTTGGAATCAGTGTATATATTGATTCATCTTCCTTTCCCTTCCCTTAGTGTCTGGAACAGTGCCCAAATCTCTGCTCTCTGAGCAGACCATCCTGGGGGAAGGGACTCTGCCTTTTTCACCTCTTGGGTTGTTGTTACAGTGTAACCTGCTGGCCGTTTTCCATCCTGCACATAACTGTTGCTGTCTGTGAAGAATTCCAGGTCTGGGTTTTGCAGGAGCTTGTCGGTTAGATCAGGCCTACTTGCGTACACTTCTTCGATGATTTCCTCACAGTTGTGGTCAGGCTGCCCTTCCCATTTGGGTAAATATGTGGCTGGGTTTAAGATTCGCACAGTCTCTAGATGAACTCTTAGATTTTTACGTAGGAGCCCTGGTTGTGGGTAATCCTTGTGTTAGTTATCCATTTGTAACTGGGGTCATTCATCAGGGCCACCACTGAGTGGGATACTTTTACATTTAAAGTTTGTCCCAGCGTGAGTTCGTCTGCCTCGTTGACCAGGGGGCTGTGGCAGCGAAGGCCTGTAGACAGGGTGGCCATAACTTGTGCCACAGGGTCCAGTTTTTCAGACAAATGGGCCTCAGGGCACTGCCATGGCCCCACATTCTGATTCAGGACTCCAAGAGAAAGTCCCAATCTGGTCAGGGGCCCGTGTCATGGCCCACCCCTCAACATCCGGTGTGTCCCTGGGGGCTCGGCCCTGCAGCCATTTTCATGCTTCAGTGAGAATGTGTCTCTTTTCCTCTGTATTGAAAAGAGTCAGAAGCAGCTGGCAAACACCCCAGGTGGGCCGGTGAGAATGAAAGACAGACTCTACGAGGTCAATCAGAGCCTGCGGTTTGACGGCCTGATTACAGTCGTCACACACCACCAACTAGAAATCATTATGGGCTTGACAGAGACCAAATACTTGCATGTCTTCATGACAGAGCCCCATGACTGTCCCAGCATCGCTTCAGGACTGGGCAGGGGCTGGTGCTCCCCGACAGATGCCATTGCGGCAGCGGCAGCAGCCGAGGTGGAGGCTGTGCTGGCGCTGCTGCTGCTGCTGCTGCTGCTGCTGCTGCTAGGCGGCCGCGGCTGCTGATCCACTCGCTGTCACCACTTGGGGGCTCTCCTGATGTCATCCGTGGACCGCTCCGACACTTTCTGCTCCTTTTCTTTGGAGGGCGGCCAAAAATTCTGACCGGTTCACCAATAGCTCTTCATCTGCTATTCTTGTGGAATCTCTTTTTCTTAATTCTGTTTAGACCATAATGTGATTGAAATGCCTGTGGTTTTTCAGAGTAGGAAGGAGTATGATGGCACCACTTGAGAAGGTCTGAAGTACTAAAGGGTTGGTAGCAGAGTATGGGGTGCCTGGGATGAACAGTCCTGTCTTCTCCAACTTGCTGTGGCCCTTGTGTCTCCCGCAGTGGCATTTGGAGGGCCAGTGGTGCCGGTCTCCCAGCTTGTGCTGAGTGGAGTCTCCTTCCCACCGGCTCAGGCTGGGGGCTGGGCTCTGCTCTGGGTACTCAGGCTGGAGAGGTGGTGACATAGAGGGTGGCAGTGTCTCCAGTGGGATGCGAGGTGTCAGTGCCCTGGGGCATAGAGGGGGCAGGCACATCTCATCTTTTCTGTCTCCCTGGAAAATAATCTTTTCTCTATCTGTCTTTTTGGCCTGGACTGGCTGAGCTGCTAATATCTTGTATTGTCCAGGTCCATTTGAGCAGAACCGAATCCATGGGGGTAGAGACTGGGCGACATTCAGCCAGGAGTCAGTGTAAGGGAATTGATCTGGGTGGCCTGGGGTTCCAGTGATTATTTGATAGACTGCTTGCACTGCTGCTAGGTCCAGAGTTCCTCCTGAGGACCACCCGACTCCAAAGGTCGGCATTCAAGCTCACACAAAGTGCGGAGCCTGCCAGGGGTCATTCGAACTCCATAGTCTCCTGTATACCCCTTTATGAAATTCTTAATCATGCAGTCTAGGATGGTGGGTTTCGGCTTCAAGCCTCCCATTCTGTCTAGATGTTTAAGGATAATAGAGCTGTTGCTTTGGGTGTTTGGGAAGGTAGACTTTATATCTTTTCCTTCTTCACTCTTCAAAACACCAGAGTTCCCAGAAAGACTACTCTCTTGCTGGCTCTATGAGTCATTTGAAGGCTAATTTGGTCAGGGAGCTTGGGTTCCAGTCACAGCTGATGTCTCTGGAGCTCAAGGCCTCAACCAGTTCCAGGGGCTTCCTCACTAAATCCTCTCTATATCCTAGCCCAAGGGCATGGGACTGATGGCTGATGGCAAAACAAATGGACTAGAAAGGGGACCTCCAAAGCCAGGTGAGCCCAGTCCTGAAGAAATTCATCTTCTAAAGTCAAATCCTGGGGGTCTGATGCTAGGCAAAAGGAGCACTCCTTGGGTCAGTTCAGTAGGGGAACAATAAGTCTCGGGTGTTCTGTGACAGAGTCAGGTAGGAGACTTTCTCAAAGAAATAGCATCCTAGCCTCTGAGGGCACAGGGGGCATTGACTCATTGGCTGTTTTATGTCCCTTTCCCTCCCAGCATAGCCACCCTGTGCTGGTGTCGCAGTCAAGACAAGGGAGGGTTTTCACTGCGTCCGCCTGGCCGCTCCCCTCACGGGGATGAAGGTGCCTCTTAGCTTTGGTGGGTCAGTATAAGCCGCTGACTCTGATCGGGACCCTGAGGGACTGATACAGCCTTGAGCCATATGTGGTCTCCACAGGACCACAGGTTGGGACTCAACCGAACTCCGTAGCGGAATGCCGTGGAGCTACAAACTCGAGCCTGATCACGTGCTTCACAGGCCGCTCACTCACACACACACACAGAGGTTAACAACAGTCCTCCCACCAATCCCAATATCCTGTTTCCTGTAGGAGGGGATCCGCCTCCTCTTCTGTCCACTGGGACAGAACCTGAATTCTCCCCAGGGGTTCCTACCTTGTCCAGGCGGCCACCTGGTGAGTCTGTCCATCCCTCCACCCAGTCTGGCTCTGGTTGTAGCCCATCCACCTGGGAGGGCTGAGTTGCCATCATGAAAGAGACCCAGAACACCGTCGGGTGGCGCCACCTTGTTTGCTGCCGGAGTCCCGTCCCCCGGTAGGCCAGAGCCACCGGTCTAGCGGCTAAAGGGGCTGGTGTTGTTGAATCTTGCTGGGGCCTCCAGAAATGTTATGGAAATGACAGGCCAACCAAGAAACAAGCACCACTCAGAAAAGGCAAACTTCTCTTAAATACAAGAGGAACCTCAATGACCACACAGGGTGACAGACATAGGAACTACCCTCGGGACTCATCTAAGCTGGCTTCCTCTTCAACATCCCTGATCCTCATTAACCCTTTCTTTTACAGCTTAGCCTCCTCAGCCTCCTCAGTTCTCTTCAATCCTTTGACCTACTCCCTCCCATCCACACTCTTGTCCTCTAACCATCTCTCAAACCCCACCTCTCTCCTCCCACCTTGGCCCCTCTGCTCAGCATAATCACTGTAGCTTTGAGCCTCTGCTCCCATCTTGGGCTCTTGAGGGAATCAGAGGCCCCAAGAGGAACCAGCCAAGGCTGAAACAGGCTGATTGGAAACAGGAAATGAAACCTCAAACCACCCACACATTGTGCTTACCACACCCAGAAGTTCCCCTTCAAGGCCTGAGGTTCTCAAAAGCCCAAGAATCTTAAAGTCTGTGAGCAGAAAA